GACATGGAAATCTTTTAACTGCAATCGACGTCAAGTTTCCTGAGATGCTTTCTTACTTAGAAGGGAAAAAAGTGGAGAAGAAGAAGAATAAACGATATTGGAGAGAAAAGTTTGAGATTAAATAAAGATACGATTAAATTTACATTTCCCTCTGTCAGTTTGGCTTCTTTCTCCTATTGGAACCACCAGCAAGCAAACTTTCCTGAGCCTACATGAACATCATGTGACAAAGTTTTTTAATCTCATTTTATTTTTTTATCTCCGCATTCATATCCGACTATGCTTCAAATTCAAAAGCAAATATCTTCTAGAATGTATGTAAAAGTTGTCAAAAAGAAGAACAGAAGCCAACAAAAACAACAAAAATATATTCAAAACTTTGCTAGTTTAAGAATGAAAAAGAAATGATAGCACCCGAAGAGCAGAAAAGACGAGTTTAAAACTTTAAGTATTTTTACTTACTTGAGCCATCAAAATAAAAAGAAAAAAAGAAAGAAACTTTCTCCTAAGAAGTGGGAAAAATATTAATCTTATAAAAATAATATTTCAACAATAAGGAAATATGCATGTTTTCACCATTTGTTATATAAATAGATATACTTTAGGAAAACTTTTACGCCGCATCAAACAGTGGTGTTGTGTGCGAACGGATAAGATTCTACTTCTCAACCAAAAATGAAAAGAAAAAATGAAAAAGAGAAACCATCACAGAAGAAGATTTAACAGAAGAATAAGAATGGAAAGAAAAGCTCACACTGATGATTTTTAATATTTTATGTTCTTTTCAAACTCAAAAAAGAAGATAAAAGAAATGTTAATGGAGGAAAAAAGTGTTGCGAGAAGATTATGAAAGTGAGCTGAAAAGAGGAGCAAAAGGATCAGAAATCGGATTCTGCATTATTGCGAATTGCGATGTGTAGCTTCAGAATCTGAACATTAAAGGGGAATTGGAGGAATAGAGGAAGAGCTTCTACATAAACTGAAATTTCCATCAGTAGCTTTTCATTTCTCAAAGAGAAATAAAAGGAAAATCAATTACTGTAAAGAAGCTTCTTGTAATTTCCATTGCGGTAACTCAATGCCATTTGTTTTAGTTGAATTCGAATGCAAAATTTGCACATCCCGATAGAAATACCTAGAAAAATGAAGACGAATAAAGGAGAAAACAATAAACAGTAAGCATAAAAGGATTAATATTCCTATAACATGTTTTACAAACAAAATAATTTAAGCATTGTTTACCATCGTCTCTTTCCAGGATCTGCATGAACATAAAATGATGAAAGGTTGGAATTTTGATATATTACGGTGAAATTCAACGCCATTGTTTATTGTTATCGCTTGAAAATTACCTCGTTCATAAACATAAACAAACAATAGACAACCAAAAGGAAAGCTGAAAGCAGCACTCGACGAATAATTGACGAAGGGTCATTCATTCTACAACACCTTCAACAAAAGCACTTTCGTTATTTTTCTTTTCTACATAAAGCATCTTTATCGCTTACAATACGATCATTGATGTGTGATACATACAATTCAAAAGTCATTGAAGATAAGCGGTACTGTGAAAAGTGCAATGGAATTTATACGAATTTTATTCGCGTTCAATTTGTCTTTTTTTGTTGTGAGTGATTCGACAGTTAGTGCTCGTGCTTAAGCGTTCAATTGATGATGTCGGCAACGATCGATAAGAAATGATATTTAGTCATGTTATTAATACTGTTGTGAATGTCATTAGTTATTGCGATCATAAATCGGGAATTATTCATTGATTTACCTCTAGTAATGTCTAAAAATCCATCTAAGATGGTCTATATTATCATTATTAGTAACAACGGTAATGTGAGCTACAACTAGAAACGAAAACAAGGAAGGGGAAAAAAAGGCAACAATTAATATCTTCTAATCCCAAATACATAAATTTCGTATTACATATTATTTTCAATTCAACGATTGTCGCTGTTGTGATAAATTATGTAATTTCGATTTCTTTTTTTATGCTTTTGCTTTTAATACGACAAAATTACTTTATTACGGTCTTTTCACACATGAAAACATTTCTCACCTTTTGTGATGAAGATTTTTATTTATTTCTGCACTTCGATTCGACGCAGCTCAATCGACATGTGAGAATCGTATCGAACCGAACAACGAATGCTTGTCAAAAATTAATTTCGATTTCAAACGCTCGAAAGAATGGATAATTGATGTTGCAGTTTCAAATAAACAACTTTTTAACGAAGCATTCTGAAGTGATTTAATGCTTCTAAGTTTATCACATTCACTTATCATTTATAGTGGATTATCACTGTGATTATCTCTTTTTCTTTTTGTTTATCCTTCTTTTAAGCTTCCTTTCGTATTTTCTTTTGTTTCTTCGCGCTTAAAATTTGTGATGTCTTAAGAAATGGCAAACTAGAGGAAGGTATGATGTCAATGAAAATCGAAATGTTTTCTTGCAAATGTGATTAACTTAAGCTCAATTTATGCAATTTTCCTCCTTAAACTCATAATGATTATTACTTTCATCATCAATGTCTTTTTCTTCCTCTTCTTTATTTATTTTTATATCTCGTCTTCAAGCGATTTAATATAATTATTAATTTTGAATAATTTTATTCTCTTTTATACTGTTCGTCCTCTTGAATTTTCTTTTCTTACAATTCTATAGTTTGCGCATTTAGCTCAACTTTCTTCTTGCCCTATCTATATTTAAGTAAAACCATTAACCACGAGTATAATTCATTTATTTATCATCTTTCTCTGCTCGTCCCCATTATGCTTCGGAGTTAAATTATTTGTGTGCGTCTCGTTCTTGTTCGCCTTTTTCTTTCTTTGCTCTTTTTGGGATTTCCTATCCCATATTTACTTAAAATTTATTTAAAATTATAAAAGCAGTGTCCTTAATGTTTCTTCATGTTTTATCATAATTAAATAATTCGTATTTTCCGCTCTCTTTATTCTGTTATATCCTACCGGAATATGTGAATGAATTTAGTGATGTTTAATGGAACAATACAATGAGAAAATTTATTTCTTATCAACGCGTACGAAGAAAGCTTTCGCTTTGTTTGGTAATTTAAATAGAAGGAAAAAGCAGCAAGCAGTAAGCAAGCCACAATATCTGTAGGCTACAGAAAGCTTTCTGTTTTAATATGTAGGGTTTTCAGTTCTTCTTACTCCTCGAAAACCAAATTAAATGAGATTTTTTTAATTGCTTTATTCAAACTTTCTCATGAGTTTTAAAAAGGCTAATAGTAGGCAACAAAGATTTCATGTAAGTTGTAAGGCCAATAATTAATGAACATCAGGACGAAAAAAAGAAACTCGAACTTAGCCTATTTTCATAGCATTTTCACTCATGAAATTTTAAGATTTCCTCGTTATATCATTGCAATCCTTATAAAGCATGATTAGAATTGTAAACAAAGAGTTTCATCCTCTCATAAGATGCCGGAGCTTATAATAATAATATTTCTTTGTAATACTTTTCAATTACCGCATGATGAGACTAATTTATCTACGTTGTCGCTTTCTCGTTCTTGCTACAAAATTAGGCAGATACCAAATCTTGACGTAGTCGTAAGGAAGAGGCGCAGATACTTTAAGGAAAACGAAAATATAATTTAAGCAACTTTACAGCTCCTTTTTAAATTAATTAATTTTTGACATCAAAGCTGTTGATGTTCTTGATGTGTTTGATAAAAGAATAAAAAAGAAAGAGAGAAAGATTATTTGCTATGGAATTGGTGAACTTATGAAATAAAAATGGAAATTACATAACAAGAAGAGAAGACAATTTCGATATAATCTTCTCTAGTTCGCGAATCTTTTCCCATTCATTTTTATTAGATATCTTCGTGCGTTCACATACAAAATTTTCTGGACTTCATAAACGAAACGCATAACAAAAAAGATTCTCGCTTATTTGGACTCGTAAAATTGTGATATCGCATGAAATATTTATGAAAAGTGTTATTATTTTATATTTACTGACTTTTGTCGGTTGCCGTCGAATTATTTATTATTATTTTTCCGTCATTGTTAGCCTAAGAATCTTAAAACATCGTCATCACCATCATTGTCGTCATGTTCTTCTTTTTTTTCTATAGCACAACTTGCGGACAATGGTATTGTCTCATATCGCAGAGGTTCTCGTGCCATTCGCGCGGACATAATGAGAAAGAGAGCGGCCTTGCTTTATGGCTTGGAACATAAATTTTAATAAATTATGCTTATAATCAGCCGACATTAATTTATGTATTTATTGTTTTATGCCCAACAAGGGAAGAAGCGAAAATTACTTTCAAGTGTGAGAGATGAGAGATTGAGTAGAAGCAAAGTCATTATCATCATCGTAACACTATAGCATGTAAAGCAATTGGAGATTAAGAAATTAATTACGATATGAAAATTTTAGTGGGATTTTATTGAAAACTTGAGCTATTTTTGGTGATCACAGGAAGGATTGGAAATCAAAATTCGTTTATTAAATAATTATTTAATTTAAAATTAAAATTATTTTAATAACATATCAAAATGTTATCGTTATTGATTCAGAACATTAATAAAAACATGATTTGCGAAATAAGCGTCGTATCATTCATCGAAACGTAAAAACGATAATTTATTTTATTCAATATTACAATTCCATGACACACAATTCAACATTTTTTCAGGCAATTGTATTGCTAAGTTTTTCTTTTCTTCTGTTTTATATTTTGAAAGAATGACGAAATAAAAGTTGAAGGAAAAAGGTTCAATAAAGTTCTTGAAAATTATTGCTTTTCGGATAGCACGAGACATCTACAACTATGTATGTCGAAAATAAAAAGAAACTCTGCATTAAACAGAAAATCAATTACATCAAGCAATAAAATCACGCAAATTCAATTAAATTGTACTGTTTACTCTGCATTTGCTTGAGGAATGCTCCCAGCTGAATTAAATATTCAATCTGCCCAAATATCTAAAATATCGTACAAGTCAGAGTTGAAATGTTCAAGAACAAAGCAAATTCCAAAGCTTTTATTTTTTCTGGAAATGATTCGATTGAATCTTCAACCTTGAATCAAAATCAAAAAAAATACGTGAAAAAATATTGCTACGACAAGCTTTGTAAGCTTAAGGGTATTTTTTGTGAGAAAATTGAAAGTTTCCATTGTGAAAAGCTTTTTGAATTATATTCCACGACTTTAGATAATCTTATGACGTAACACAGAAAAAAATTTATGGCAATCGCGACATTTAAAAAATATCTTTCCTGCTTTTATTGCCGTTCTCCGCCTTCGCTTTTCTATATCTCCCCGCGATCTTTCGCGTTCCCTGCTTGTGTCCTACTTTTACCCCATTCCCGAGGAAAACTTTCAATTGATATTTTCGTCGATTACTCGTTTTCCTCTTCTGTTCTGTTTCCTTCGCTTTTCGAAACATTAGCGAACAATCTCAACGACTTTCTTTTCCTTGTGCCCTTCTTTGTTTTCATTTTATTTATTTTCAGTTTATGCTTTGAATGATTTTCATTATATTCTCAGTCGCATACTTAAGTTGGTTGAAAGTCTGAATAAACGATACATCATAAAAGATATGATAATTTGAAAGAGGACGATGATGCGACCAATAAACGAGATGCTCAACTTCAAATGTCTCCGACACTTTTCTGCACTTCTGCTTGTGATTGTGATATCTCATAACATTAATTCCACATCAACATTGATTTTTTTCTATTTTCCTTGACAATTTTTTTTCATTGTGTAACAAAGAAAGGGAAAGGAAAGCAAAGCAAGTCGTCGTCGTATTCGTATTCATTTGTATCGTAAACATTATCACGAAGAGTAAAATTGCAAAATACGAATGGAAAAGAAAGCGTGCGATGACTTGAAGTAAATCGATATAAATTTGAATCAAAGAATCAGTTAAAGTAAAAGCTAACAAAAAAAGTTCAAAGTTAATTTCGCGTGAAAGACGACGAGCCGACGCGGATGCAGAAAGGCGTGAAAAAGAGAACAAGAAAAAAAAAAGGAAATGAGAAGGGGAAAGGATTTGAGTTTCATAAAAGCTAATAGTCGCTTAAGAATTCATCGTGAGTATCTTTCTGCTGTTACCTTGCCTGCTCCCTACTTATGTTAATCACGCGTACGTGTATTTTAACAAAAAATGAGGAAGAAACGAGATGTGAAACTATAGGAATTTATGGGGAAATCTTTCTTCTCTCAGATCGCCCTTCCACAAAGGAAAGCGGAAAAGGATAAAAGCTTTGCACGTTTTCGCCGTTCCTATAGTTCTCACGTTTGCTTTAAATGGATAAAAAATGACTGCACGCTGTGCTTTGTCGAGGAAAATAAAAGCAGGGAATGAACATGAAGAAGACTAAAACTATTCCTAGAAAATTTTGTGTGTTACTGTTTGTTTGGTTTTCGTCATTTCTCCGCGATTTCAATGATATAAGTCATTTGTTTAAACTCATATTAGAAGCGAGAAATTCTATGGAGTGTCTCAAATGTTTTAAACAAAACACATGACACTAGACAAGAAAGTTTTTCTTATTCTTCGCAGTAGTAACGAAACATTTAATGTCGTAACATTTTCAATGCGGTTGTGAAAAGACTGTGATGAAGTTTTGGTTGAAGTAATACAAAACACAAAAAAAAGATTGGAGAGAAAGAACATCAAACTGTACAACACGCTTTATGTGGATGAATATATGAGATACTTTGCTGTTTTAGCCTTTTTTTGTGCTTCTAACCAGCTCAACGACAGCATTTGATGTTTTATTTTTTCTGTCGCCCCTGTCTGCGGAAAAACTTCAGTGAATATAAATGATGCGATTTTCTTTAAATTAGATAATTTTTCCATTTTCATGCTCGTCCTATATTTCTGTGCTTTTGTTTCGTCGTTTTTTTTTGGAAGTTTCATTGCTTCTTTTCGCAATAGAAAGACAGAATAAAAAAAACGAAAAAACAACAGTGAATAAATATTTCTTCTCATGACATTTTATGATCCCACTGATGCTTGATGCTTGAGAAATGAAAAAGCAGAAAGGGAAATATTTTTTTTATATCACAAAGGGGGCAAAGAAAACATTTTCGCATTCAAGTATCTTCAATATAAATATCATAATAAGGAGGAGAAGAAGCGAACTATGCAGATTTTTCTCATTGAATAAATGCTTTTGTTTCGGTTGCTTGATGCGTCTATTTATTAATATTCTTTAGATGGAATTTAAAACATAAATAATTTCCGTTCTAGAACGATGAGCTTCGCAGATTTTGATCTTCGTTGTGCACTTTGCATATCAAAGATATAAGATTCATGTTGGTCGTGATTTTAATATCGTGAATCTTTTCATTTCTCTCATGAAATAAATGAAAAATCTTTGCCATTTTATGCTAGCTTTAGCTTGACATTTTCAATCCCAAATTTTATAGCTTTTTTATGAGTTATCGAAATACGTTCAAAGAAAGCATCTTCATATGATTATGTACATATCTAGATATCATAGCTAGCTACATAAGTAAAATTTATATGTTGCGTAAAATCTCATTTCATTTCACCAAAATACAAAAATTTATAGATTACATGTATATGTATGTATACGACAACATAAAACAACATTATTGTCTATCGAAAGAACAACAATGAAAAGAAAAATTTGTATGAGGGAAGGGAATGGTGGGAAAAGTAATGCTATCAATGAATTATAATTAAAACCTCATTCCAATTCACTTACAAATGATAATTAACTTTTTCCTTACCAAACACCAAATTGCTGAAATTTTATTCGCTTTTTTTAATATTTTAATTTGAATTAAAAGATCGTTGGTAGATTGGAGTGAAGAATTGTTTTTAAGATTAATGAAGGAATTCAGTCTAATGAAATAGAAATTCATCGACCGACGAAGCAAAATTATTTTTTTTGAGATTTATTCTTGCAAAAGCGTAACTAAATATTCCTTTATTTTCTGTCAAATTTCAAATCAATGTCAATAATTTGTCGAAAAGTTAGTCAATTATTACTCAACTCATCGTCGTCTCTCTTGAACATTAATTTCTCTCTAATTCAGACATTGAAAGTCGAGTTTCTTTACTCGCGTTTTTTAAATACGCAGCAACAAAAATAAATAAGAAGGAATGCGGGTGTTAAACAATAGAATTTTCTTTCTTTCTTTCCTATACTTCAGACCGTGATCTGCCCTATTACTTAAAAAAGTTTTTCTTTTCTTTTGTTTTATTTTATTTTGTTTAAAGGCCATTACTCGTTTATATTTTTTATTTTGTAGTCCCACTGAAAACCTACTGAAGCTGTCTCATCTTAATTTAAAACGACAAAGAGAAAATAAAAATTAACTTTTCTTCTTAACAAGTCTGACGAAGGGAAATGTCGTTGATAGACATTCGCTTTTCGTTCCTCTCGTTCATTGAATCGAGTTCACTCTTCTTTTTATTACTGGTTATATACGAAACAAGCTTGTAAACATTTAATAACAGAATTTCGCACAGAAATAACTTTAATTCAATTTCCAAACAAAAAAACAACAACAGAAATATCAACAACAGCAACGATAAAACTTCACAACGTTTAATACAAAGTAATTGATATAACTTTTAAGCTAATTTTATTTCTTCATTTTTTTGTTCTTGTCTCATTTTGTTTTCTTTGTTAATACGACATCAGTCACGTATTTGGAATGAATTCGATAGGATTACATTCAGGATAATGTGGGAAAAACGAATTTAGGACGAGAAGGAAATCAAAATAAGAAGTTCAACTAATTCCCCCCAATACGTGACTGGTTCGCGATCGCATAAACATGACTTTGAACCAGTAAAACACTGAAAACATTTTCCACACAATAAATTTACATTTGTAACATGCGTTTATATATTTATATGGTTTTTATTTGGATAACAGATACGGTTATTCATATTCAATAATTCTTTCCACATCAATATTCTTAACAACAAATAATACTTATGAATATATACTAAGTCAATAACAGCAATAGGAATCACAAATATTTAATTTTGGAAAACGATAACTAAACAATAAAATGTGAATTTGAATTTTTTATTAATCCGAACCTGAAATCGAATCCTCTCCTATGATTTTCAAAATCCAAACCATCCATTACCGCGCCTCCTTCAGCCCAGCATCGATTTTCTTTTTCTCTCGCTTCCTGATGAATTTTCGTGTATTTGATTAATACTCAATGTGAAATAATTTATGGGTTTTTATTTCTTCGTTTTCTTCTTTATTCTTCTATAATTTTATTTTTTTTTCGTGATTTTAATTTGAAGTGATGTGCATAAATGTTTATTTTCTATTCGCTTGTGCGTGAAAATAAAAACCCCGAAATTAGGGGGAAGAGAGTTGATGGGGGAAGGGGTTATAGAGGCTTTTTGTTGTTGTTGTAAATGTAAGTGAGACCGAAATGTACACAAACGATATCGATTTGAATCAATTCCAATTAATGATGGACGACAGAGAAATTAGAAAGCACCAGAAACCGAAGCGAAATATGCCGAAGGATTTTCCGGTTTTTCCTTTTATTGCTTTTCTCTTACGTCTTGTTGCTGGCTTCTTGCTTTTAGGGTTTTCATGTGTGAATTAACATTTAATTCCAATTTGCAATCGTCTTGATAAAACCAATGATATAACAACCAATTTTTCACTGCGTTCACATATCACAAATCGCTATTTCTTCTTTCCTTTCAATCTCAGTATTAAATGAATTAATCCTTTGGTATTTTTGGTTCCTTTTATCTCTTTCTTCTCTTATTTTTCTAAGATGTTTTGCTTAAAGCCAATTTATTTTTTAGTTTCTTTATATTTTAAGCTTTTATCAAGATTGAAATTATTCAAAATTTTTTAGACAAAAATCCACATGTTAGTTTATTGCTTCAATTTTCTCTGTTAGTTTTATTTTCTTCTTTTTATTTTGCTTTTTCGAATTCAATTTTTCTACAATTCGTCGCTGTTGTTGGTTGACGTCTATTCAATCCTTTTTTTAATTATTTTAACTAAAGATGAAGAAGAAGTTAGATAAGTTCAAATTGAAAGAGAATAGACTAAATTAAATAGAAAGGAAAAAGTGTATAAAAGTTTTCAAATCTAATTTGTAGAGTTGAAAGAGAAAGAGTGAGAGTCAGAGATGTGTAATTGCATTATTTAATTCCATGAACATGGAAGTGGACGAAATTTTCATTTATTTCATGAAAAGTTTAATCTCATGTCCAGCATTCACTTCTTTATGCTTATTCAATTCACAAACATTCCACTAAATCTCGAATATCTGAGATGAAATTTGATAAGTATGTATAAACGTGTCGCGATATTCTCGACTAAAATATTCATCCTTGATGTGAAGTGAATACACCATAGAGGAGCATTAAGAAAGAAAACAAATGTGTGAAAAACATTCCCGTGAAAGCTTTGAAAGCTCTTTCCCGTTCTTCCCCTTTTTTCACTGTACGCTGTGGTGTCATTTAATCATATTTTCAGTTTTTTTCCGTGCAATTGAGCTCCCTTTGTCATAACACTTCGGTAATTTCAAACGTGAATTTATGAAAATGGAAAGTATAGCTTACAGGCAAAAGTAAAATGGAAGAAAAACCTCATTAGTTCCAACCTTGGATTTGTATTCGACCATCACAAGAATCCATTTTAATAAATAATGATTTTCATTTGTTTTCAGGCTTTTCTTCTCCTAATGAAGGTCAAATTTTCACGAATTTTTAATGACTTTAATTTGTAACATTAATTGACAGTAAAGCATGCATTTGCTCTTTAAACTTTACGATCGAAAAGAGCTTCAGCTCCAATTATGTTAAGCTCGTATTTGACTTACAAAATGTCAACAAATTTTTATAATTATTTCCGTTGCAACCAGCACAAGAGGATTTTGTTTAGTTAAGTAACTAAGACATCATTGTCCAACCCTTTTCTGTCTTACTATGCAAACTGAAACCACTTTATTTTGCGGAAAGCTTACAGGAAATCCAATTTCAAAAATGCTCACCCTACTAGATAGTGTCAGATAATCCTTTTTAATTCCCTGAATGTTTTGGAGCGCAAATGCACCGAATTTATCCTCGCCCAAATAATTTTCTTTCTTTCCGTCTTTCCTTTTTTCCTTAGCAAATTATATATTTATTTGTCTTTGTACCGTTTGGCTGCAATCTCATGAAAGAAAGAATGAAGATGAAAATCTCGTAATGTTTTACAGTCGAATCGCTATAAGTGGAAGCAGAAGGGGGTAGTCATGTATGGAGCTTTTCATCTTATATAATTGCTTTCCAATATGAATGTAGTTGAAGGGGAGATACTTATGGAGCTTTTTCATCTTATAGAGCTTCCACTTAAAGCGAGTCGATTGTATATGCAAAATATCAAGCAGAAGTTTAAAATTAATGTTTGTCATTTGACATAAATATATTTGGAATTCTCCTTTTATTCTTGTTTAATTTCTATGTTGTGCACATTTCAACGCCTAATGCTTCATGTTGCGAATGGTTATGAAGTGAGAATAGAATGAAAGGCGAAAGCAAAATGTTTGTTATTTACATAGATTTTAAGCCAAGGCTGACATAACAATATAAGTGTATGTAGAGCGCATTTACTTCGCTTTTTAACTTCCTCGAAGAAAGAGAACCTTAGGCAATTTAGTTTCACTAATATCACATCAATCAAATTCATTTGGTGTGAACAAAAACGAAAGGAGAGAAAGTGTCAGGAAGTCATCGAAATATCTGCGTACTCATCATATGCTCTACTAACATGTTTTTGATAGAACGTTCGGAAAAAGGCACGACACGACGGCTAGCTTAGTTCACTCTTTGGAACACTCGGGTAAATTCTTTTTTTCTTTTCGGTCAAACATCAGAAAATCGATTTTAACCACGCAAAGTTTATCGCTTTTGCTCAACGGCAGGAAAACTCAGTTGGAAAAGGGAAGGTGTCGTATAGAAAACAAACTCACATGAATACACTCCTGATGGTTACTGATACATCATTGTAATTACAACTGAATAAATCATAAAGTAATATTTTCTCGCTTCTACACCAGCCAACATCATCTCCATCAGCATTAATTATTATGTAGGTAGGTATTTTTTTCCCCACCATCTCAGTTTGTGAACGATGATAGTTCATCATGAAATGTGCACATTGCAACATTTCAATATTAAACTTGAATCTTGCCTTCATCTCTGGAAACGAAAGCATAACATTCAAATTCCCACCTTAAACATAAATTCAAAGTACGTGTACATTGTACAGTGTAAAACAAATGTTAATCTCAGCATTTTTTTGAAGTTCCATGTAGTAAAAAATTTGCACGGAATCGGTTGAACGCTTCAAATAAACAAAATTTAAAAAAGCTTCCTTCTGTTCAGCTAGTTTTAGTTTTAATTAAGGGCTAGGGAGAAATAACAAAACGGCTTACAAATTTGCTTATGACAATGAGTGACATGCTACGTACTTTAGTAAATGAAATAATGTTTTCCATTAAGCTTGAAACATTTTCAATCAACGGCTTACATGAAATAGAAATTTGTGCAAAACTTCAGTCTATCAAATTTGTTTCATTTATTCTTTTCACAACTTTGTATGTTGCTCAAATTCATTTTTTCTCTGCAAATGAAGTAAATTTTTACGCTACTAAACCGAGACAACGAATATCTTATAAATTTCAATTTGGGTTTCGAGCTGTTTCTAGGCTTCAACGAAACGATAAATAAGAATAGCATTCGATTGAGTTTGTTAGTGATGGGAACTAGAATGAAAGTTAATTTTGCAACGTGTACAAAATTTATTCGAAACTGAACATTTTGAAATGCAATTCAATTTGTGATTGAAATGTTTCTCTTTGTGGAATCCCAACAACAAATTGGTTAGAACGAGTGGGAAAGAAGGGAAACATTTTAATGAAATGCTAATATCGAGAACATTATATGTTACGCAATCATATATTTTTTTCTTTCTGATGTAATTCTATTAGTATGAACTTATCTTCATGTTTCAAGCTTAATAGGGGAACGAGTAGAAAAAGGGAGAAATCTAACAAAACGTTGAGGCGAAACTGTTTCTCCCGAAAATATTCTTTCCTCTCCTCTATTTTTTTACCATCCATTTCACATAAGCACATAAGTATAAATAAAAGGAATTCCCATGCACAACATAAAACATTTTGGGAAAGACGATGGAGTGGAATAGAAATATGTATCATGTCGTAAGCATGTATAAACATTCATCGTATGTATTCTACTTATGTAGTTATGTTGATGAGAAAGATCACTGAGAAAATTCAATTCAGATCTGAATGACTTGATTTTTTAGGTCATTGTTAAACGGCAAATAAATATAAAAAATAAAAGAAAGATAAACAAGAGCGACATTATTTACTAGTTTGAATATTTTTTTCTCTCTTTCTGTTCGACAACGCTTGTTTCAGCTTTTTATTTTGTTTTACATTTTTTTAGTTTTTCATCATTTTTATTTGAAATTTGTGTAGAGTTCTCCTTTTTACAAGTCTTTTTATTTTATTTTTGAGAATAGTTTTTCTCTTGTTTCGTATTCATATGACGTATTAACGTGAATATTTGGAAAACTAAAATAAAAAAGAAAATTTCAGTTTTTCATGAAAAATTTAAAAGTTTTTCTTTTTTTTATGTTTTATTTTTTCTCGATTATTTTTTCTGACAACATAAACGAATGAAAGAAGAAGAAAGAATCGTGAAAGAGTCACGCAAACTGTCGTTTTAAATGCTTTACTGAAGAAGACATTATGTTTTCGGGATTCGAAGTACTTATATATAAGTTAACTACGTTTTTTTTAATGACATCTTATTCGAGACATGAAGCTAAACATTTCGCATTTGGGTGAATAAAAAATCCGATGAAATATTTGCTGCATCCCTTTACAGTTATGTTTTTTTATCTCTTCACTCTTCGATTCATAAAAAGCTATCCTCGACGTTAAATCTTCTGTGTGCTTTCGGTTAATTTAATATCTATGTCTATTGATTAGTTTAAGAGTAATCGCTTACGGTAATTCTCACTTAAATGACTCTTACAGATTGATGTTGTCTATTTGCACGTTTCACATCTCTTATTTCATTTCTCACATGCTAAATGTCGTCGCCATTGAAAGCTGCTTCGTAGGGAGGAAAAAACGTCGACTTCAATAATAAATGTTGACAAGTGAGAAAACTTAAGGAGGCAGAAAATTGAAAAGAAGAAAAAAAAAAGTAAATCGAAAGTAGATTCAGAGCAGAAAATAGAATCTGAAGTTTGGGAAAAAGGGAAATAAAGATAAAGATTTTTTAACTGGTTAAGTAAGTCGGAATTTTCAAACGTTTCTTGTTGTGATCATATCAGTCAGGATTGTGAAGGAGAGAGGCAACCTTATTCAGAATTTTAATTTCCAATGTGGCTTTCAAAGCATTTTTCAAGCAGAGTGTAGAAATAAAAATCTCGTTGTTTTATGAATTCAACCATAAAATTCTCTTTTTTTTTGTTTTCTTTCCATTCATTGTCATCTCTAACAAGAAATGAGATTAAGAAAAGTGAAAACAAAAATTTTACACGAGTTTGTGGAATGGAAAGAATAACCGCAATACGACGCGTGCATAGAAGCATGAAGTGACTTTAAAATATTTAAAACATCTCATCAATGTATGGTAGGAAGAGTTAAGAACGATGTTAAATGAAGTCGTCGTCATTTTTATCGTGCAAAATGTGATAATATCATTAAATATAATGTTGAATCCACATCCAGCGGAAGACAATGCCACAACACGGATATACGAGACAACGTCATAGTCGTTCTATGACATTTCAATTGTTAACAAAGCGGATGTCGATGTCAAGTTGATTTAATTAAATATACATCTTCTGATTATATTAAAAGCTTTTTTTCCTCACATTCAAATGGCAACAGATGAACCCACCAAGAGGTGAATCAAAGAAGTTCTTCCAAACTTTTCCCTCAAGAACGATGTCAATCTGCTTATTCAGCGAACAAAGATGGCAAATATCTAACTCCCCGCACACTATCTAACTTGATAAAATGCAAAATTAATTTTCCCACTCACGTCCTCGAAATAATTTCTACGGTAAATATCTTATCAAAGTTTCTTCTTATGGATGAAAGTTCTACATTCATGTCTCGACGTTCAAAATGTCTCTCATTCCTTTTCTTCTCTCTCCCTCTGTCTCTCAACGATACCGGTAAAAATTCTCGTCTGACAATTTAATTAAATTAAATATTAATCTGCTTCTTGTGATGATATCGAAATGTAATTAAAGCTCATCCACCCGAAATTTCATTTCGATGTTTTTTCGGGCTCCACTTGATTGAAATTGATTCGTCCTCGAATTATATGTGATATGTGTATATGTGTACAGGTATGTATATTACCTCATTCCTTAAATCTGTCGTCTTGATTAAATAGATGAGAAGAAACTTGTGGAAAGTTAACTATGGTTGACATTCTATATAAAAAAATTCATTGGCATGGAAAAGGAAAACTTATCGATTAAGTTTCTATTTATACATCAGATTCATACAATAATTCATCGCACTTTTATAACCTAATGAGAAAGTTTTAATATTTTATTTAGCAAGCATAGCAAATGATGCACAAGATTTGCATCACATACGAGAACGAGAATAAGCGCATCTATGGAAATGTCTGCTTATACAATTTGTTTCATAATATGTCTTGATATAGAATCACGATCGAACAGAAATATCATACGTGCTCATCTAGAATAATCTACAAACATTTCTCTTCTTGAAAATAACAATTTCAAGTGTTTGTTTTTCCCTATAGCCCCAGATGATGATGATGATGAGTAGCATCAGACAAGAACCATTCAATCGATGAAACTACTTGCTTTTCCTCTAGATAGCAATGCAGAAAACTATATTTGTGAATTTAAATATTTATTTTCAGATTTTGTATTCATTCTTAGAGATCTCAAATTGAACTACCTAGGCTAGGAAAGCAAAATTTAAGATCGGTAGGTATACAGCGACAATCGACAGAAGAAAGAAAAATAAGTAAAAATTTTATATTTTCAAGTCATTTTCCTTTTGAAATTCAACATTTCATTTCTCACGTTTTTCGCCTTAATAAAAATATCCGCAACGAAAATTTTCACAAGCTCAGCTCAGTTTAATTCAAAGAAAACAGAGAAAGAGCAAAGGAGAACAAAGAAAAAGGATGAATAGAAATACAAATTTATGTCACTTAATATTTTACTGTTCAAGTCAGAGCAGTTTTGTTCCAACGACGGCTGAAAGAATTTTAGCTGCATCATGTTGAAGTGTATGAAAGACTCTCAAATGTATGAATAAATAACATTACAGCATAGAAAATCAGGAAGAAGAAAGCGATAGATTCTTGTAGCTTGAGAAGTGGCATGCAAATAACAAGTTTGGTGAAGAATCAATATTTGTACATACGTATCATGACGACCCTTTTTTTTTCTTTTTCTTTATCGGACTTCCCCAGGATAAGTCCGGCGACTATCAAATATTCTTAACGAGTTTCAACGCTAGTTTTATAGCACAAACATTCAAAACATATGAGAGAGTCCAATTTTACATCCGATATACGTCAACCGGAAATTATATGGTGGAAAACATTTCGACGACGACGATGTTGACGACGACGATGACATTGCGGATGGATTATCTATACTCAAATAAAAAAAATCCTTAAAATTGATAGAGTGCCACTGCGAAGATGAAACTTTCGTCGTTAAAGACATATTTCTTGTGTCTTGAAACTCAAATAAAGAAAAGAAAATTTTTAAACAACTTCCGGTCAAACGACATACCACGAATATTTCATTTCCATTGGAATTTATTCGTATTTGCGGTAGTGTACGATATGAAATGGAGGGATGTAAAGGAACAGAAAGAGAGAGAGTGCGGGTTGTAGAAAAGGAATGAAAGAGAAAAGCTTTTGATATCCGGAATAGAACAGTCATTTATTATACGTTAAACCACTTTTGATTATTATCATCATCCCAAGCCGAGTGTAAATATTTTCACATTTTCTCTTCATCGAAAATTTCTTTTTTTCTTATTTTCGCAAGAGAAACAAAGCAGCGTAAGAGCAGACAAAACCCAAAGAATCAGAAAAGAAAAATATTATCCGTATCTCGAGGGAGAAATGGCGCGAAAAGTCTTTCAATTGGAAATCACGCATTACCAATAATGATGTGGTTTAAATATCATTCTCTGTGTCGGATATTTGAAGCGCGCTTGAAGCTCAACAAGCGAGATGTGAAAAGATGTACTTACATCCAAAGAAATCCAACCAAACTCGTTGGGTGATATATATTTAAAATTCCATCAATATTGATACCATTATGTCTTTATCTCAAATTGCGAATAATCTTGTTATTCTGTGATTCGCTCTTCTTCTTCTTTCTCGCTTCCCAGCATCTAAGGATAATATGAGATGAGACGAGTATGTTGAAAAATGAAGGATTTTCTACACAAACATAACGAAGACATTTTTAATGCTTTTGTTTCAATTTTTTCTTTTTTTGCTGATAGCACAGAACAACAAAAAATTGACATTTCCAAATAAAACTCTCCTTAAATCCATTATAGAAAATGCAGATTAAGCAACACCATTCAGATTATAAAAACCCAACCCATGTATGTTTCCTCTCACACTTAACTAAGTTACACGCATATCATTTCATTTAAATTCAATTGCTTAAATTAAATATCATATGAGAATAGAATTTTCTCTTTAGCGGTTCATACAATGAACACGTTGAAATCATAAACGGAAAAGTTTCTCAATCTTGTGCCTTAAATGAGAATTATTTTTCTCTTCAACGTCTTGTTTTCGCATTTATCGTTTCACATATTCACGCTCTATCCACTTGATATGTATTTACGCAATGATTAAATGAAAATATAGACTCATATTTTTTCATGATAAGCAAGGAAAAGAAAAGAAAAAGTTACATGAACAAAATCAAAGGGAAACAAGTTAAAGAAAAGCGTGTTTCTGTTAAATTGAGAGGAAAATTGTAAATGCGACGTGAATAACATCAGAAATCAACACGAAAATGTTCTTTGATTGTAAAATTAATAAGAAATCTACTAAGAGGAAAATCATGTGAAGAAATATTACCACAACAAGTCTCGAAAATTGTTAACTACTGTTAGGTCGTTCGAATCGATCGAAAATGATTCTCATTTTTCGAAAGGGAAACAACGAAGGAAGAAAAAAATACAAAGAAAGGTAAGCTTAACTCGTAAATCTTTCCTGAGGTTTAAACCTAGTCAATAAAATGATGAGATGATGAAAATATGCTTTAACCTCGTCTAATAACAAAAGCTTTTTCTAGTCACAAAACGAGTTGAGATGAGCAGCAAAATATTTTACTATTGACGACACAATGAAGCTCTTGAGAGAGCTTGTAAAGCATAGAAAAAAAAGGTTGTGATGTTGATATCAGCATAGCACAAAGAGCAATTAGGGATAGTTTTCATATTTGATTCAATCAATTTAACACTCTTAACATGTCACCAATGTTTTGGTGTCACGTCACCACTCCTTCCCGATATTCAGTCTTGTTTATGTCAACTTAATTGAAGAAAGAAAAGGATGAAAAGTTAAGTGAAAAAAGGAAACCTTTCTCATTTTAGTTCAATATAATGTACTTTGAAGCTGATTTTTTATATCGTTGTCATCATATAAAAGAGAAGCAACGACACAGCAGCAGATTTTATACATATTCTTAATTATGGAAATTTCTTGTTTTTTTTCCAGAAGAAAAAAAGAAATTTAAAAGAATCCACAATCAGTCTCATCAACTGAATACATTCGCAAACATAAAATATATCAGCAATAACATTCTTTAGAGAAACTGCTTGCTCATAATACTCCAATATTTCATTTTTTCTCCTATACTCAAAGCGAGTATGTCTGCAATATATTAAGTAATCGGAAGATCATGTTGTTAGATTATTATTTCATCTTCTTATTCATTCTAAATATCCCAGTTGGAAAAATGAAATTATTTGCTCTCCAATACTTAGTGCAATCTCATTTAACTGAGACATTCATGAACGAAAGACAAGATAAGGCAGCACGAAGTGGAAGCAGGAATAAGTGAGAGAAAAAAAAAATAAAGCACATCCTCTTGGAGAATCTTTCCAAGCTTTTTATTTTGCTTTGATAGAAACTAATACCTTATGAACTTCTTTTACTTTCTCCATCTTTTATGGCATTTACATTACTATCGGCTCGAGAAGGAATCTTCGGAAAAGTTAGATAAGCTTTCTGATGCCCCCGATCAAGTAAAATGTATTTTATGTTCAGGATATTTAAAAATTCTATTATACCCAAATGTCCGGTTCTCGGGGGTTGCCATACAAACTGATTTTTTCCCTTCTTCCATCTATCTTACTTGCTTCCCTTTACCCTCATTTCAATGCCGATATTTAACCCTAACAATCTGCAATCTATATTGCTTTACAGTGAGACTATAAATTTTATGACATCTATAAAAGTATTTAAAATGAAATATCCATAAAGTTTGCAGTTTATTTGTATGAGAGTGAAATTCAAACAAATTTCGTGGAGAAAGTTCTGCCAGATGTGGAAAAGCTTATACTATTTTGCCTTAATTTCATTGGCTTTTATTTAGTTGATTTATATTATTTAACAACTCCGTTGAAGTAAAGCTTTTAGCGTTGACGACTACTTAGCTGAAAGCTTTTTTGTATTATCTTAGATTTTTTCTATAAGCCTTGTTTCAGGTTGTATAGGTAAGTATAAAAGAAGTTTATTCGACAAGAAACCTTTTCTGAACAACATAAACCTATGGAAAATCTTTTGATGTGTTTTGAAAATTCTTTTCCTTTTATAACACAAAAAATGTTCAAACTTTTTTCTTGAAATTAAATTTCATCAACTAATAATCCTTTGAAATTTCCTCAACCGATTGACCGACTTATTTTGCTTCATTGCGGACTACATTTTGCTTTACTCAAAAATATATTTGGGACACGGAAATTAATTGATAATCATTTAGCCTTCCCTGTAATTCAATTTACTTGGCTGAAATTAGTATTCCATCGCTGCTTCACAAACCATTTAAAACCAGAACAACCCAGAAAGCTTTTTTTATGGTAGTAACATGCTTGATAGTGTAAAAATCACCATCACAACCAGGAAAAGAAATGAAATGAACGAGCAAAAATATAAGAGGAAGAAGAAAAAATTATAAAAGAGAAATGAACATTTAAAGAAATGAACATTAAAAGATTTTAAACATCATCGTTCTCACGAGATAAGCCAACATTAATGAGCTTTAACAAGATGCGCTTATGGATAAATAGTTGGATAGCTGAATCGAGCAAAAGTTTTTATGTAGTGGATATTGAGCTTTTTTACGTTTGTATGTCTATGTGTGTAAGTTGAGCATAATCCTCGTGTGAATACATGTAGGGTTGTGAGGAAGAAGCGAAACTCTATTTTAAAATTTAGAACGAGGCAGATATTTCCAGTGTTTCATTTTTAGAGTACAAACCGAATTTGAATGATGTTATATATGTATAAGGATATTTATGCTACTTATGTACGCCCCTAAAATATGTTTCAAATATCGATTGAAAATTTTATATAAATAGAAATATTAGTGTACTGAGTGGTTATCGAATACTTCAATGTAGTTACTTTTTTGGCAACAGCATTCAATAGCGAACTTTGCACCAAACTATAAATAACGCAACTTGTCGAGGCGAAAGGTAATTTAAATAAATTGTAAATAGAATTTTAGAGAAAAGTTACCCGCTTTCTACAACTTTTTAAGTGAAGGTTTTGCGATTTGTAGAAATGATATGAGTGCTCATCTCTTTTTTTTTGTTTATAATCCCTTGTGTCTCCTATGTGTATATCTACATATGTGCGATGTCATGAAGCGCTAAGCTCATCCTTACAAAAAGAGGAGAAAAATAGCACAAATAAATTTCACTCTTATAATAAAAATTTTGATTTTATCGATCGATGATGTTTAGTCATGATTCTCGTGAGATTATTCTGGCAGCTTTATTATGGTCAATATATTATCTCCAGTCGGTGGTTATAAAGATATGTAAACGATGGACTGATAAACGTACAATGTTAAAAACGTAAGCATATATCGAGACATCGAACGTTGGAAAAGCATTTTCACGTGGCAGTAATGTGTAAGAGAGTCATATATTACATAAAATCGCACATAAAGTGCCTGTACGTAAATTTTGTTATACTAAAGCTCTCTCATGTTGTTGAAAACTACCTGCCACACCATAATCTCTATCTATGTACATTCCCAGGGTAGAATGGAACAAAGAAAGCAAAGCAAAGTACCGGCACTCAGCATATAGAGAGAAAAGCATTGATAAGAAGTAATAATTTGCATTTTATTAAATTTCTGCCTTCTCTATGCTCTAGAGATAAATATTTTCCCATAATGTGCCATATATCTCAATTTATGCGCACACAAACATACACACACAAAAAGATATTCTTCGTCATCGAGAAATAGAAGTAAAAGTTTTCTTTTTTTTGCCTTCCGTTGTTGCTTTTCTTCTGGTTCAAGGAAGCAAGAAAAATTTCTTCGAGAGAACAGAATCGAAAGATTTTTGCTTTTTAAGAAAAAACGGCAACGACTACGACAAGGCAAAATCAATGCGAATCCCATCCAAGGCACATTTGTTCAAGCAATAAGAAAAGTGATGTAAATGGAAACGAAAGCTTTTTTGTTTGCGTTATTAGTTTTTAACTTTCCTATCCGGAGTTTCCTTCCACTTTATTCTCCTATCGTCAATGGTATCGTAAAATCCCTTAAAAAGCATCAACAGAAAATCTCAAAAGCTTTCTCGCAGACAATTTAAAAATCAAACAGTTCGTCCTTCCCCTTCTCGTCTGTCAGCTTTATGTTTTGTTGAAGAACCATTTAACCGTTTATATCTCTTCAAATGTATTTATTTTTCCTTCCTCACTCTAACAACATATTTCAAGTTTAATTTCGAGATATTTTGTTCTGAAGTTGAGTATACACAAATAAAAATGTAGCATAAATCACTAGGAAGAAGAGAAGGCATCTTTTTGAGCATCCTTTCTTATTCAATTTATGAAAACGGCCAACAAGAAGAAAAATAAATAAAAAATAAGGAGAATTTTTAGACCGAGCCCAGCATCACATTACACATCCTCTTATTCTTCTTTTTCTCGTCCCCGTCTTCAAAAAATTCTTCCCGTTCTATGGCATGTTAACAACAAGATATTTTATCACAATGATTCTTTTTACTGCTATCCGTCGTTCACTGTTAAACTCTGTTACTGTATTTTATACTTTTCTTCGTCATTGCTCTGATTATGTTAACGAAGGGTTTTTTTATACTTCAATTGGCTATCTTCATAGACAAATGGATGCTGTACGTGGACATGGAGACTGAATGAAATTTGATGGAATAATTTTTGATTATTGAATGGAAAAATTATTCCATTTCTATAAACATATCATTCACTCATCGTTCAAGGCCAAAATAAAGGCAGCCAAAGTATCATATCCATTGACGACTTATGCTAACTCTTTTTCATAGACAAAATTCCATAAAGAAAGAAAAGTTCTCACATTCTCCTGAGCTTTCATCACTTTCCCTGACATTGCTACAGTTGAAATGAAAAACAGAAGGAAAGATAAAAATTATACATTCAACATTCCTTTACTATTTTTCTCTTCATTTCATGGTCTCATGACTTAGATAATAGGAAGAAATAGAAATCATGGAGCACTTTGAAGTGACACTTACAATTTTGATTACTCAATTAACAATGTTGATATGAAAAGTGTTGCATATATGCCTTACTTAGTGGTAACGAACAAAAATTATGGAGATTATAGTTAATTGAATCATTTTCTGCAAGCATTCATACCACTTCTCGCCACTTATTGTATTTTTTACATCACACTTAAAATCCTAAGAATATCATGCTCTAGATCTGTGACACTTGTAATTAATTGCATTTACAGATTTCAGATGGAAATAATTTTTATTCAGGTCGTGTATGTGTATGTGTCTTCGAAGCGACGATCTCTCCTTGCCTCTTATTCCAATTCTTCTTATTCGGTTTTTTAATTAACGAGTGAAACATTTTTTTTCTTTCACTCTCAACCCGCACAAGTACGTTTTATTGATTTTCAAGTATTGAAGTGGAAGAGTTCGTGGGAGGAGAGAGGTTGGCATTAAAGTTTCTTACCCAAGGAATAAATCATGCTGAACGATAATAGAAATTTTTTCTTTTCCTTGTTTTTTTTTGGTTACGTTAAATGAGGAAAAAGTCTTTCGTTTTGTGACCCAGTTAGTAATGACAAAGCCCAGGTGTTGTTTGTCATCGTCTAAAGTAAAATGTCTAGCGAAGAAAAAATAAAACAGCTCATGATAGGTTGACTTATGGATGGATTTGTGTGACTTAAGCATTGAACATTCAAGAGTAAACTTTCATACTGGGCAGGCTTTTAGTCACACAGAAAAAAAAAATTGTTCCTTGAATTTGTGTCTCGAAACGATGATTTAGAAAACAAGAAATAAATCTTCTTGTGATTGTTAAGCAGGAAAACCTAAGAGTCTCGTAGACTTTCTCGTCATGTACATGTATGGCATGAAAAAGAAATAAATTAGGAATTCATCTCGAGACGGGTTGTCGGGAATGGATTTTTAAACACTTACGTTACTTATAAGCACTAGAGACGAATAAATAAAACCACAAGTAACATTTTCTCTTCCTCTGTGTGGTTTCTGTGGCTCTTTCCACTTCAAACATAAGTTTGTACAAGCAGGAAAAGTGCACAAAAGTAGACCAAAACAAAATATATGTATTAATGGTTGCCCATGAGAAATTTCTACATGAAGAATATTGCTTCTGAAAGACTTTCATCATCATTTTTTCGTATCTAGTATCAAATCCAGATGATTTTTTTCTGCTTGGACAACATTACACTAAATTATAGTTGCTGCTGATGTTACTTTTTTTTGCTGATGTAATATGCACACAAACAATTTTTCTCTGAAGCTTTTCTTAAGCTTTATATCAGAGGCTTTTGCTGTCTCCATATTTTCTCTTATACTTTGAAAAGATATTAAAAATGTATTTTTAAGATTAATTTTTTTTTTCATCTTTTGGTGCCAGTGCCTAATTCTCTCTGTAATTTTCTTTCCAGAAGATAAATGTAGTTGGGAATGAAGTAAAGTCAAAGAAATTTCTTGGTAATAGATCTTCTTACTTGTGCATTTCTTAAAATATTGTATGGGAAAGTAAAGAGAAGTAAGAAAAGGTGAATTTTTTAACATTCACAAAAGGAAAACGCGTTAATAAATTTTGCTACTTTTAGGGAAATCTACAAGAGCTTTACACAATATCAGTTTAACCAACTCAACCACAATGAACATATTATTCAACATTAAACAGAAGAAATAGAACCCATAAAGCATATAATATTAAATAAGGAAACAAACAACATAAAACATTACAAAATAATATGAAAAAAATAAATATAAAATGAAAACATTTTATGCGCTTCTGAATCCAACTGTTCATGATAAATTTTCGGAGAATCTATTTCATATGACCAGAACTTATTAGATTTCTTTATTTTTATTCCGTTTTGAAAGTGCAGAAAGAGCATAGCAGTGGTGTGTTAAAAAAAGAATATTAAAGAAAAATAAAACATGAACTAGAAAGGATGTAAATTTGATGATTTCGATTTGCTTGGTTTTTTTTGCACAGTTTCAATCTCTTTTTCGAAATTTCGTAGTGTTCATTTGCTTCATTTCGTTCGAGTTCATTCGTTTCTTCTTCTATTTTTATTTCTCGTTCAATAAGAGAGAAAGGATAATCAGAATTTTTTTTTTATACATTTCCAGACATACACTTTGATCATATTTGTGCTTTCCCCAGCACGTTTATAACCATCTTCAAACGTACTATAAAAAAAAGGAAACAGAAACGTTGATGATGTCGACTGAGGAAGGCAAAAACGTGAATCATTATTGAACAAATATGTTTTAATGAAATAAATATTTCAAAAATTTTCACTTGAGCACGATAATAATTTTTTCCTCCATCACTGTCTCAATTTTTTTTTATAATTTTTTTATATTAGTTTCTTGATGACGTTTTTTTTCTTCTTTTGGTTGAAGTAAAAACCAGTCGTCAGAAAAACGATGATATCATTCTCTTTCAATCTTTCTCAGTATCATTAAATTGATTGGTTCGTATACACATATGAAAGAGATGAAGAAGAATATTATTTTGAAGATTCTCAATAGGGAAAAGAAATAAAAAAGATAAAGATTCAATAGACCTAAAACCAGCCGTTGTCTCCCATAAATTCTTATGTTATTTTTCAGTTTTTAGCTCATTCTCTCATACTCTCAAGTAGATTATTGAATTATGACAGGAGGCAGCCGAAAAAAAATGACAAAATATTATTTTAAAACGAGGATGAAAAAAATATGCAAATCAGAGTTTCGAGCGACCAAAATGGAAAGAGAAATGAAAAATTATTATTTTTAATAATCGATTGATATACAAAATAAACTGCTAGGAACGAACCCACCCTTCTATGCTTTTTTATGGTTCGATGATTTTTTTTCTTCTCTTTTTGGAGAAGACGAGATTGTATTTTATTTGTGAAAAACATGATGATATCAAGGAAAATGAAGAAAAGCTCATGGTTGGAAAGAAAATATGGAAGAATAGAATGAATGAGAAACAACAAAGAGTAAATAGTGAAGTAAAAAACTAGTTTAACTATATTTTTGACAGTTTGGGTACAACTTACGATATTGCAATATTCTTATATTAATCATCTATTTCTTTGCTTTTCGCTCTCTCGATCGGTAGATATAACAAAGTTTAACAAAACGAATTATATTTTTTATGCTGTTTTTCTTTTGGCTTTCTCTGTTATTGTGTGTATATGAGCCGTGGAGTTAGGTTGAAAGGAGACAATCGTTACTCTTTTCGCTATTGATATTATGTTTTTTTTAGCTTTCATCAATTATTATCATAATTTCGAAATCCCCATTTTTCATCTCAATCATAATTTATCACTTTTTGTATCATCATACATTTTTTACTTCATTTTCTATCGTTAACATTTCTTCTCTTTGTATTCTTCTTTGTCGATACTTTCGGTCGTCTGGCTTACAATAGATTTGATATTTTCTTCTTCTCTTCAATCATCGTACAGTGAGAAAGTCGTTCCAAAAATGGTTGAGAATAAGTAGAAATCACTCATGATTTAAAATCAAAAACAGATTTTCATTCCATTCATTTGCGAAACATCGTCTGCCATCTCATTACGCGACAGTAATACTAAGCGGTTCAATGGCAATCTTTGTTCTTTTCTTCACAATCATTTCACTACATATTAATAAAAATCATAAAAAGAATAGATAGAAGGAAAAAAGTTCGGTTTTAGAATTTATATGAAAGAAGAAAGGAAAACAATAAAATAT